TGGTGGAGTTGTCCTCGATCATCGGGCTCCTTGGACGGGATCGGCGGCAAGTGGCGGGCGGCATAGACAATACTCTCTGAGTCGATTTCGCTGGTCTACTCCTAGCGCTTGCGGAGGCTGCACTCTCTAAGCTCGGTGGCGGAGGAAGGTGGCTGCAATGAAGGAACAAGCTAGTGAGCAGGCAGAGTTGTGACAAGTGTTTATATGTGTGTTGTGTGGCTGCATGTGTGTGAGAGATGATGGGTGAGTGGAGTAGGGCCCACTGATGAGTGTTATTTTAGTAATGTCAAATTTACCCTTAATCAACGTACATGTTTGTTTGTTTTTTTTAATAATTGTAGCAACTATTTTCAAGTCATCCCCAACATTCTTGACCACAAAAAAAATTACATTAGTCTTTATGCAACTTGAAGGAAACACTGCTCAGTGGTATTAAAATTTCAGCAACAAACAAGAGAATATCACTTGGGCACAATTCTTAGAGGTCATTTCAACTAGGTTTGAGGAGGAATCCATGATAATTGGGGAGTTCAACAAACTCAGGCATACAAGTTCTTACCAATATTATTATATAGAGAAATTTGAAGAATTAAGAGCTTGTATGTTGTACATGAACCATGATTGTACAAAGGAGTATTTTTATATTTATAAGTGGTTTATCAGATGAGTTACAGTAATTTATTCATATGTTTGATCCAATAAATGTTTAGCAAACTATTGTGTTGGGCAACAAACAATTGGTCATATTTGAGGCAATCACTAAAACTCAAACAAATCTTGTCAAATACTTACGGATGCTTAGGAAAGTTGAAAATTCCTACTCAAACACTACCAAACCTATCTCTAGTCCCCAAAGGAACCATGTGAAGATACTTACAACTTTCAGAAATGGTCGCATGAAGGGAAAATAGGCTTTGCTACAATTGTGATAAACAATTCACTTATGGGCATATGTGTAGACAAAGGCTGAACTACATGATAATAACATAGGGAGAGAAAATAAACTACTTACAATTTACAGAATCACAGGGAGAAGATGCAAGAGAATTGGAAAAAAAAATGAAGAGATTCAAATGTCCTTTAACTCTATAACAAAGAAAGATGAGATAACGACAATGAGGGTGTGTGGGGAATCTTAGGTCCATAAGCTGCTCATCCTTGTTGACTGAGGCAACACTTTGAGCTTCCACAAGCTAGCACTACCAAGTCCTTGGGGGTTATCATTGAAGCATGCTAAACCATCAATGGTCAGGGTTGCCAATGGGCAAAGAATGTGTAGCACCCATATTGCTGAAAACTACTAGTTGAAAATACAGGGAAACACATTTATGTACCCTTTGAGGGTATTAGATAATGAAGGCTACTATATGATCTTGGGTGGTGATTGGTTAAAGAGTTGTACTACTAGTGAGCTTGATTATGAGAAAATGAGTTTCACTGTGACTCTTCAAGAGAAGAGAGTTGAGATCCAAGCTCTGAAATCATGGACTGCTTTTAAATTCATCTAAGGGCTAACTATATAGAAGCTTATACACGAGGAATTCAATTCCACAGTAAAATAAATTTATTGGGTAGCTATATAAAAACCAGACCACCAAAGTATTTAACACGAAGTGGAAGTTATATTGAAAGAATTTGATGAAGTATTTAAGGAGCCTAATGGACTATCACATAGTAGGGGTATTGAACACCAAATCACTTTGTAGCCTAACAGTATCCCTAAGCACCAATTCCCTTACTGGTCTTCTCATAGTCACAAAGGGGAAATAAAAAGAATTGTGACTGAAGTGTTGGAAGTAGGGATTATTCAGGACATCAAGAGTTATTCTTCTTCTCCTGGGATGAACCTCGTGGGATCCTGTGAAGATCCACCAATGAACCCTTCCAAACCATAGCCTCTAATGGTTGTGAGAGCTTTTTGTCACCAGATTAAATGATTTTCATCTGTAAGCTTGAAGGAAATGGAGTTGATTTTGGAGTTGTATGGGATGTGAAAAATAAAATAGATGTTGGCTCGGATTTGTATTGACAACCATTATTTACCCAATGGATCAAAACAAGTTATCACTGCTCTTATACCATGTTAGAAATAAAACAAATCATGATAAAATACTTAAGAAAGTGCTTAGCCAAAAAAGGTGATCACAACCGTAAGAAAAAATGCAAGAGAACTTCTTATCTTCCATGGTTATGAGAATGTATTGCATCCTCTTATATATAGCCTATTCATAGACCTATCTAGAAACCCTAAGATAAAAACATATAACATGTCAGCTGGTGCAACAGCTTGAGAAAACTAGTTGTGCGAAAGACAAACAAGACTAGTACTGGAGCACGTGCATGGCATGGTGCATGGAATGGGTTGACGACGAGTCTTCATTTTGATATGGCATTGTTGACCATAAAATTACTTGCAAAAGTTAGTTATTTGGATACACTTTTGTAATTTGATTTTTAAGTTTAATTTATTTCAAGAAGTTATTCATGCGCTTAATTAGAAATGGAATTAAGATTACTTAGGGCATGCTTGGATATAAAAATTTTCATTCTATAATCAATATAACTCAAAATGTAACTCAACTATAACCCAACTCTATTATCCTAAATATTATCAATATAATTAAGTAGTATTAATCTATCATTCTTAGACACACATCAACTTTAATTCACTATTTATTCGTTCACATAATTTTAACTAACAATCACTTCACGTCATTCATCTCATACTATACATCAAATCAATCTTAATTATTATTTTTGAAAATTATTTCAATATAAACTCAAAATTCCACCAACAACTAACTATACCACATTTTTCTAAATTAACATTAATTAACCAAAAAAATCTATTATGATCGAATTTTTTTATCCAAGCACGCCCTTGTTGATATTAATTTTTCAATATGTCAAATTTAGAGAGGAGCTATAAACTTTTAGAAAATTTCAATCTCGAAAAGTTCATAGTAATCAACTTTTTGAAAAACGTCCCAATAGAAAACACTAACCATGAGAGTCCAATGAGATCTGTATTGAGCCCAGGAGAGGCCGTGGGACTCCTAGATTGTATTTTAAAAAAATTAATAATATATATATATATATATATATAGAGAGAGAGAGAGAGAGAGAGAGAGAGAGAGAGAGATTGGTCAAATAAAAACTAGTGCTGGTGTGAGAATCGTGAGAACCATATTTCATGCTATTTATAATTGTGTATGACGCTATTTTTAACACACATGGTGCTATCATTTTCGCAAATGCTAATATAAATTATGTTGTTATGTTTAATAAAATAAATATATGTTAAAAATAGCACTAAAACACAATTAATCATAGCACTAGGTACAATTAAAAATAGCGGTTCTCACGCTAGGCTTGGTTCTCATTTGAACCACATATCCTATATATATATATACATATATATATATAGATATATAAAAGAAATGCTATAAAATATGTACAAAAATGTAAAAAATATTTATAATATGTTAATAATTGAAACTTATGTTCTATGTTGTTTTAATTTATATTAACATTAATAAAATTTATTTATGAAAAAATGTACTAACAAGCCTTATATTTTATATTTTTAGATAAATAATATTTATAATGATTTACTCTTTTAGCCTGTTAATTATAAATCGATTTAGTAATTTATAAAACTTAGTTTTTAGTTGGACTGTTACATTTTTTTACATTGATTTTTTACTTTTGTTTTGTGTAATCACATATTTTAAATTTATTTATTTTCTTCCTAAATAAATGTTAATTTGATAGACCCTCATCTACAAAAATGCTATGAAATGTGCTGAAAATTTTTAATTTAAAACAATTTTCAATAAAAAAACTTATTTTTCCATAAACTATAGATGTTGAACTTAAGTTAAAAATACACAAAAGCTTCTTCCTGTATCCTTTCTATCCCCGGATATATAGAATATATGGAAAGGGCGGGCTCATTCTGGGTGGGTTGTAGAGAACCCCATAGAGGGGGTAGGGTGGTATACATGTTTGTGGATAAACTTGGGCAGCGAAGTGAAGTCCCTGAAGGGCTTGTGAGTCTCGACTAAAAGGAGATGAGAGAAGATGCTCTTGCCTTCTCTCCGTCTGTTTTTTGGTAAGCTCCTTCCTTTGTTTGAGCTCTGTCATACTGCTCTTCTATCTCTTTCATTTGCGCAATCTTCTTTGAATTCAATAAAGAATAGAATTGCGATTCCCTCAAAAATGGATTTACTTGAGTTACCTTCTTTCGAGCTCCCCTGGGCTTTGAAGGCACACGAAATATGATCTGATCTTGCTTTCTATCCCAATGCACATACAACTTCTCCACTCTGGAAAAGAAATCTCATATTTTTTTTGGTTTATCTTTTAAAAAGTTTGAAGGTGATATATATTCTATGTTTTGAAAAATTTGATAGTACACATATCAATACTTATATTTATAGTAAATATATTTTTTTATATGAAATGAACGTTTCGACTTAAACTACATGTTCATTATAAAATTTAAAATCGAGCCCCCCTAACTGAAATTCCTAGACCCGTCGATGCATGAGACCGATTTTGAAACTTTGTTATTAAGTTTTGCATACTATAATTTTTGGTATATTCAAAGGTGACGCAGCTTATGCCAACTTATGCCAACGAAAGAGAAAAATAAAATGAAAAAATGTTTAGAAGCGAAAACTAATAGTAGAAATTAGAAAGCACCGATGACATACTAAATCTGAATCTGGACCGTCCATCTCCTCAATTCAACACATCAACGTCCAAAAACTCTCCTTTTTATTAATAATTAATAATTAATTAAAAAGAAAAGTACAAATAGTGTGAAAATTGCACGCAAAAGCACTGAGCGAGGCTGTTATATGAGCGCAAAACCCAGAAATAACACAATTAGGCGCACTTTCTCTCTCTTGATCTCAGAATTCGAGTGCGTTGTTCTCGACTCGTACACTCTTCGTGGATCTTAGACGCGGGTCTGTGTTACTGAATCCGATACAATGGTGAGTTTATTTGCTTTAATCAGTATTGGATTGTGTTGCGATTTGCCTGGATCTGGTCTATGTTTCAAATTGTTCTTCTGAGATTTTATTTTTCTTGGTAATTTCGATGGCTTCGAATTCAGGTAGTGAATTACTGTTTTGTTTGGATTGTGATGCGATTTTTTTTGAGATCTGAAGCTGTTCTATTGTTTGCTTACTCACTATTTTTTGATTGTTTGTTTCTGGTGTTGAACTATGATGCAGCCGCTGAGACTAGAAATCAAGGTACCGAAATCATTTCATCTGAGATTCTGTATTTTGGATTGTCCATTTTCATCAGTTTCCCTCCAATTCTTCGTGTATCCAAGTGAGCTAACTATTTGATTTGCTGCATCAGCGGAAACTTGCACAACGATCAGAGCGTGTAAAATCTGTGGATCTGCATCCAACGGAACCATGGTATGTGACGTGAAATTTGTTAATCTTTCATAATAACAGTTACATTAGGCATGTTTTAGCTGAATGTGGAAACGGTTCGATATGATAATTTCGTTGCCGTGGCTGTTTTTTTTTTTTTTTTTGATGCAGCACCCTAGTCAGCACTTTACTGTATAAAAATGAATTGCTGCAACTGGATGTTCTATATGTGATCATTTATGTTAAAAAATTTCGGATTTTTGATTCTGCCATTTTAGTTTCTAACAGGCATTGGTTTTGTTAGTCTGAAGGATCATATATGGGGAAACTTACATGTATTTGTGTACTCTGTCACTCTCGTTTTAGTTATCATGATATTCTAAATAGCCCATCTTGCCTTTGACTTTGACAGGATATTGGCAAGTTTGTACTCGGGGACTGTTTGCATCTGGAACTATCAGTCTCAGGTAAGAGCGATGCAGCTAACACAATTACTTTTTGCCATCATGGAGCATTGCCACGTAAAAAGCGTGTTACATAATTAGCTGATTGGTTTTTGTAGGATGCCGTACAACTCTGTAAGATTAGAATTGATTAATGGATACTTATATTGCATGACCATCTCATCTAGCAGAGTGAAACTATGTTTCTTTTTTCCATCTTATACGTTTGTGGTTAATTTTATATCATATTGAGTTCCGAGTTCTGTTAATTTTCAGGATCATTTTGAATCCATTTTTATTGTTAACAGTGTTGGAAAAAGAATTGGAAAATAAAAGTCTAAGTTCTTTTGTCACCATGCCAAATAGCTGCTTGACAGCTTACCCATGATAGCGTGAGCTGATAGTTGTAGTAGTTTTTGCATTCTTTGACTAGCCATTTTCATATATGGCCTTGTTGTTTATTCTCTTACACGGATTCTTAACTCGTGGTCCTTGATTTCTTTTGATGCAGACTATGGTTAAATCTTTTGAGGTTACAGAACTTCCAGGTGCATGATTGATTCATATTTCATACTTTGATTGGTGCAGCAACGTTTCTGTGGAAATGTTCTATTTTGAGAATATGCATTTTTTTAACTATTTCCTGTTGTGCTATCTTGCAGTTAGATCTGCAAAGTTTATAGCGAGGAAGCAGTGGGTTGTAGCTGGTGCTGATGACATGTTCATTCGCGTCTACAATTATAATACAATGGATAAGGTCAAGGTTTTCGAGGCCCATACAGATTATATTAGGTGTGTGGCTGTTCATCCCACTCTTCCCTACGTGCTTTCGTCCTCTGATGACATGCTAATAAAGCTCTGGGACTGGGAAAAGGGGTGGTTATGCACTCAAATATTTGAGGGTCATTCTCATTATGTGATGCAAGTAACATTTAATCCCAAAGATACCAATACATTCGCCAGTGCATCTCTTGATCGCACTATTAAGGTAAGAGTCCATTCACAGTTCAATTATATTGCTTGGTTTTTTGGTTCACTTGATGTGGCATTTTAAGCTTGTTTTGTTCCTATTGTAGATCTGGAATCTGGGCTCTCCAGACCCCAACTTTACTCTGGATGCTCACCTCAAAGGAGTCAACTGTGTAGATTATTTCACTGGTGGTGATAAACCCTATCTGATCACTGGTTCTGATGATCATACAGCTAAGGTCTGCATGTGTTTTTAGTTCTCCTCTTATTGAATTCAGTTTTGAAGACAAATCTAAAATATTTTTAAAAATTTTAAAAACAGGTTTGGGATTATCAGACAAAAAGCTGTGTGCAGACATTAGAAGGCCACACGCACAATGTTTCTGCAGTTTGCTTCCATCCTGAACTTCCCATTATAATAACTGGCTCTGAGGATGGTACAGTTCGCATCTGGCATTCAACCACTTATAGGTGCGGGATAACATTGCCATACTTGTTTATTGTTTATGATCTGATTGCGAGTCCAACAAAAAACTGTACCACAGTACTGTTTATTTTTTTTTTTTTTTTTCTTTTAAATTTTGAAACAATATCTCTGTTATTGATTAAGTTGTGTTCATAATTTCATTAATGGCAATTGGTATGAGATTTAAGTGCCGGAAAGTGAGGATTTATTCTTCTTATCTCTTGACTGTTTATAAACAGTAGTGATTTCAAATGCTATATAATTATTAGCCCTCTGCATATTACCCTTAGCTAGGGTGTTATGTTCTCCTTCTTTTATTCCTTGCAATCATCTAAGCATAATATCCTTCGCCATTTGTGCCATCTTGCAGACTTGAGAACACATTGAACTATGGTCTTGAAAGAGTTTGGGCAGTTGGCTATCTGAAAGGTTCAAGAAGGTGAGTTTCACTTCAGTTGATTGAATGTGCTTGCAAGGATTATTCTATCTATTTGAAGTTTGGGTTTTACTTCTTTTCAGAGAGTCCTGAACCTGACCTGGCGTATATATGTGAATTTAAGTCAAAATAATCGCCTCTAAGAAAAATGGTCGCAAGTGAAGTCTAGAGCTACTTGTTAAACCACAGATTTAAAAAATTTGGATATTAGCGTCGTGTAGATTACTTAATGAATCTTGCTTGATAGAAGTTTGCGAATCTTTCATGGAACTTGTTGTTTATGTTTTTGCTGCTCTGTTTGGAGTGTGCACTTAATACTGATGAACTTTATAGGGTCGTAATCGGTTATGATGAAGGAACTATCATGGTGAAGCTTGGTCGGGAGGTACCTGTTGCTAGCATGGACAACAGTGGAAAAATCATTTGGGCAAAGCATAATGAAATTCAAACTGTCAACATCAAGAGCATTGGAGCAGATTATGAGGTATAGATATGGTTGAACTTGAGGAATCAATGCAAAGTCAAGTGCTGCTACTGAATGAAATTTTCTCAGGTTGCGGATGGAGAGAGGTTGCCTTTGGCAGTTAAAGAATTAGGAACCTGTGACCTTTACCCACAGGTAGTTATTCGCTAATTGTTCTGAACCGCATATCAAGTTATTAAAGGGGCTACAATATGCAGAATTTATGTGGGATGCAGAATTTATGTCGCTCCACATATCAAGTTATTAAAGGGGCTACAATATGTAATTCATGTCGCTCCATGTTGCTATTTTGGTGTATTCATGTAAAGAGAACCTTAAACACATGCGTGCGCACAAACACACGCTTACACACACGTGTATATATATATATATATATATATATATATATATATATATATACTGTTTTCATCGTTCAGTTTATGCTAGGATTTGTTATCATGATAACAATTTATTAATTTTTTATTCTTTATAATTTGGGAAATTTAAGTATATATTAATTTTGAAGCTTCTCCATTTGTTGTTTGATAGTTTATATTTACACTTGGAACTCGTTACTTTATTTGACAAGTTTGCTGGTTTATCACCTTTATAGGTAAGGTATATAAGTTTAGGTGCTTTATCTGCTTAGTGAATAAGAAAATGTGGAAACATCCTATTTACAAGTTTTTAGAAGCCCCGTTGCTTGGATGATATCAATTTGACGTATATATTTCCTTCTGGAGATGCTTATTCAATTTATTTGTGTTTTTCTTTATAATTTTGCTTTTGTTTTCAAAATGTAGTCACCATTAAGTTCTTAAAATTGAATAGATTCTGCTGAACAACTTTCCAGAAAAAGTATGTCTTGATGTTCTTTTCCCCCGAACGGCTTCTTGAACCATGGTTCAACACTCAGTTATCTGCATTAACTTTAGTAGAAGTCTTTACAGTCTGAATTGACATTTAACTCTTCTATTATTTTTTGTCTTCAATCAATTATGCTATTGTTGTTTAATTATTTCCGTGGTGCTAATTTGAAAAACACAAGCTTTTCTCTCTTTTCTCATTCATGTGCAAGCATGTTTTCGAAACTTTTATTTATTTAAGAAATTAGCCTTTCTTTATGTTTGAAATGATTGGATGAAAAGAGTCTTTTTAACTTGAATTATGGAGATGGTTTAGATGATGAATTGTTACGCTAACAAGTATTGGATCATTTCTTTTTTTGCTGGCAGAGCTTAAAGCATAACCCTAATGGTAGGTTCGTGGTTGTATGTGGGGATGGTGAGTACATTATCTACACAGCTTTGGCATGGAGAAATAGATCATTTGGTTCAGCCTTGGAATTTGTTTGGTCGACGGAAGGCGAATATGCTGTTAGAGAAAGCACATCAAAGATTAAGATGTTTAGTAAAAATTTCTTGGTTGGTTTTCCACCTCTAATATCTTTTATTTAGTGATCAATACATTTGTAGCATTAATCAATTGGCCTTATTAGATATCCATAATAAGTTTTTGGTTTGTCTATGGGTTAACTGCTGGATGTGGTATTTTTTCAGGAGAAGAAAACCATCAGGCCCACATTTTCTGCTGAGCACATTTATGGTGGCACTTTATTAGCTATGTGCTCTAACGATTTTATTTGTTTCTATGATTGGGCTGAATGTAGGTTGATAAGGAGGATTGACGTCAATGTTAAAGTAAGAGAATCACAATAAAAGTTAGTCATATGCTAGTATTATTTCTATACTTGTTCTGATCACTTCTTCTGTCTCTTGTGATATATTCCAGAATCTTTACTGGGCTGACAGTGGTGATTTGGTGGCCATTGCCAGTGACACATCGTTCTACATACTTAAGTATAATGTGAGGATTCTATTAAACTTACACACCTCATAAGTTTGTGTGCATGGTCTTTGTATGGAAGTTGTATGAATTGTTTGTTTGGCTTTTATGTGTTGCAGCGTGATGTTGTGTCTGCTTATTTGGAGAGTGGGAGACCAGTAGATGAACAAGGTGTGGAAGATGCTTTTGAACTTCTTTATGAAATTAATGAACGAGTTCGGACTGGTCTTTGGGTTGGGGATTGTTTCATTTACAATAACTCTTCCTGGAGACTCAATTATTGCGTAGGTGGTGAGGTATGGTTGACTTCTCCATGAAATATCTATGCTCTATTAAAATCATCTTTCGCCAGCTGATACTTTTAGAATGTAGTAAATCATTTTTTTGTATGTGATCTTCTAGGTCACAACAATGTTCCATTTAGATAGACCCATGTACCTGCTTGGATATCTTGCTAACCAAAGTCGTGTTTATCTTGTCGACAAAGAATTTAAGTAAGTCATACCTTCTACTTTTAGAAGCAACCGCTTCTTTAATTTTATTATTTTATAATTGGAGTTCAGTACCAGCTGTTGTTAATAGATTAATAAAGTATTAAGCCGTTGTCCTTTGATGCAAGGGGAGAGGTGCTTATTGATTGGTTTGCAATCTTGCTAACATCTCTCTGGATCTGCTTTGCAGTGTTATTGGTTATACACTGCTGCTCAGCCTGATTGAGTACAAGACTCTTGTAATGCGTGGTGATCTGGACAGAGCTAATGAGGTGTTACCATCAATTCCGAAGGAGCAACTTAACAGGTTCTTCAAATTCACTGTTGCTAAAGTTACTTTAGAAAGTAGCTGTGCAGGATTGTTTTCTGTAATTTGAGGATAAAAAAACATTTTCCGTTTGTAGAGGATAATACAACAGGTCCTTTTTGTTTGAGAATTTGAAAAGGCGAACTATTAACTTTATCAGGTGTCCTAGTTAGACCTATTTAATCTTGTTTCAGTGTCTCATTTAGTGCTCTATTGGAAATGTAACATTATTTATAATTTTGAGGATTAAGTTCCTGGAACAACTTATCAGCTCTCTTTATGTAAAAATTGATAATGTGCGCAGTGTGGCTCGTTTCTTGGAATCACGGGGTATGATAGAAGATGCACTTGAAGTTGCTACAGATCCTGACTATAGATTTGAGTTGGCGATACAGCTAGGCAGACTAGAGATTGCAAAGGTAAAAGCCGTTTGACATGTTTTCATAGCACTAAAGCATCATGATTTTTCCTGGACTATTTCTAGTTTGGGAGGTTATATAATTAAATCTTTATAGCGAATTTTTGTGATTTGGAGCATGCAGTTCTTATTGGTGCACTTCCTGTTCTCTACAGGAAATTGCCTCAGTAGCACAGAGTGAATCTAAGTGGAAGCAATTGGGTGAATTAGCCATGTCTACTGGCATGGTACTTTTCTTGCTTGATTCTCTAAATTAAAATACATTAAGTTTGCCTCACACTTGAGGTTCTCTGGGTGAAATTATTGTCTTTCACACAAAAGAAAAGAGATAATTCTTCTTTTTTAAGTCCCTCCTTACTGAGTATGCCAGACTGATGTGTAAAAACCTTTGACTGCCCATAATTTTATTTTCATGCTCACAGGTTAGATGACACATTTGTCTTCCACTCATCATAGTTTTAATGTATCTCATGTCTGTTTAAAACTTTGGTTAAACTTTGTCTGCTGTTCTTTCTAAAATCTATTTCACCTGTTTCTTCTGTTCCAGTTAGAGATGGCAGAGCAGTGCTTGAAGCAAGCAAATGACTTGAGTGGTTTATTGCTACTCTATTCTTCTTTAGGCAATGCTGAAGGAATCTCTGAACTTGCATCTCTTGCTAAGGAACATGGAAAAAACAATGTTGCATTCCTTTGTTTATTCATGTTGGGTAAATTGGAGGACTGCCTTCAGCTATTGGTCGACAGGTGCAGTTTTCATTACTTTATCCATTTGATTTTCTGTATAGTTCCACTGTCTAAGAAATTATCATTATTGCAGCAATCGGATACCTGAAGCTGCATTGATGGCTCGGTCTTATCTCCCTAGTAAAGTTTCAGAAATTGTCGCTCTTTGGAGAAAGGACCTTAATAAGGTTCATGTTTGTTTTATCATGTATTCTTGATTTTGTTGAGGCATTTCTGGGGATTATTTATTGCAAGGCATTTTGTTGAAATTCAAACAGAAAACTAATCTCGAGATGTAGAATTATTGACGCGAGCTTATTATTAACATGGCTTCATTTCGATTTGCAGATCAATCAGAAAGCTGCAGAATCTCTTGCTGATCCTGAAGAATACCCTAATCTGTTTGAGGACTGGCAAGTTGCTCTTGCTGTTGAGGCCAAAGCTGCTGAGACAAGGTACTCTGTTCTTGTACTGCTTTTCTGTATGTCTATTAATCGTAGCACTTTTTGCATGAAAATTTTCAGCAGTCTTAAAGTCGCATCTCTTTTCATGCTGTCTTTCATTTTTTTAGAATTTGTAGTAGCACAACCAAATTTAGGTCAAGTATGCCAAGCAATATAAGGTTTTACATTATTCAATTTTCGATGATGTCTGCATTAGCCAAGATTCGTAGATGACGCACTGTATGTAGTCTTGAGTTGGCATGCTCCATAAAATATAACTAACTTGATATCCGTTTTCTTGCAGGTGTAAATATCCTCCGGCAGCTGAATATTTGCAACATGCTGATAGATCAACGGCTAGTCTTGTAGAAACTTTCAGAAACATGCAAATGGATGAAGAACACCTGGAAAACGGAGAATTGGATTATGAGGTATTGGTTTAACTCTATTTCCCATTTGCCAGAATATGTTATCAGAATAGCATTTTGCTATCGGCGTATTCTGCACCAATGAAAAAAATGAAAGAAATTGAAAGAGCATAGTCTATAAGGAATTTATTTTTGTTGTCCAGTTATTAAAGATGACATGAAGTCTTCAAAATTCATTATCCAAGTCTTTGTTGCCTAATGTGGAAATAGTGGAACCTCCAAAACTCTTGTATTATGAATTAAATTTTGTACTCCCTGTGTTAGCACTTAAATGATACCCAAGCTGTTGTCTAGATGTTGTTTGTTACATTATTTTTTTCTCCTTCACAATTCCAGGATGCAGAGCCAAATGGAGATGATGAAGAAGCACAAGAAGAGCCAAAGGACGAGCAAGTTGCAGTTCATGACGACGGCCAAGAAGAGGCTGTTGCAGTCGATGTCGACTCAAACGATGGTGCTGTACTTGTGAACGGCAGTGAGGCTGAGGAAGAGTGGGGTACGAATAATGAAGGAAAACAGTCAGCCTAAAAGCAATTTGGTTGGGCCGGTGTGAAAATTGCTAGTTTTGTTTCTGGTGATTAATTGATTTTTTCTTTTTAGTTTTGCCCGATCTTTTGTGTTGGTATAATTTGTGTTGTTCGAATACGTGTTAGCTGTAAATTTTCTGTTTGTCGTCTTTCATGAACTTTCCCAGATATTTAAATAGATTTTTTGTATTTGTCTGATATTGATATTATTCAGAGTTGGGTAATTGTGGTCTTTGGTTGTTGACGAGTGTAGGTGGGAGTTAACCTTTTTCCTTAATGTAGGAAATTTGACTTCTCCATGAAAAGATAATTATCTCTGAGATCTCTTTTGCTTTAGTTTTGAGAAGGGTAGTGGGGTAGAGTGTGAACCAAGTATATAATTTCATTAGTATTTATGTTGTGCATCTCCTCTATAGTTACTTAGTTAGTAACTGTGCCAGCTATGTCATCATAGTTTGCAGTTTTAAAATCTAAAATTCTTATTCCTTTATTCTTTCTTTCAGTGCTTACACCGCGTCACTGAGCCCAGTCAAGACAGACGGTTCCAGCTGTGCATGGATCATCTCATGGTAAGAGAATTGAATTGAACTTTATTGTATATTTAGTTTTAACATGCAGTGAATGTGTGCTTCACTTTCCTGCTATAAATTTTTTATTCTCTGATTTCACCTAATTTGAAATTGCTTTTACTCTGTGATGGTGGTTTGCTAAAAGAATTCTAACAATACCCAAGATTTTCCCAAACTACAAGAGAAATTGGTCTTCAATCTTTATGTAATTTTCGTTTTTAGCGGTCTGACTTTCTAGTTATATGCAAGCAATCTTGAGGGAGATGTTTACGTAGTTGGAATTTGTGTGGTCCACAGATATGTAAACCGTAGTCTTCTTCGTTACTTGAAAATGAAGTTTCTTAGGTTGCTCTACTTTTGTGCTCGAATGTTGATACATTTTCTCATGGCAGGAGGTTGGGTGAGCGGTAATTAAGGGACCAGATGTCTTTTTCTTCGCACGTGGTTGATAAGCACAGTAGAATTTTGTTATTCGGACACATTAGATTATGAATACCGGAGTCATGTTTAGCCGCTGAACATTTTATTTTTTATTTTTTATGTCCCGAGATGTAGATACAAACATGCATTATAGAATTTACCCAACACTATATTGTTGTGTCTTGTGAACTTTGCCTGGATAGTGAAAAGCTTGCTACTACAAGTTGAGAATCATTTTTTTTTTTTCAGTGTACAGGTTCCTCAATTGATTTGGCTGCCTAAATTGATTAGCACAAAATCCTGACTAAACTGATCATTTGCATTGCTAGTGGGCCAAGAGATTTTCATCCTTTGGGCTTAGAAAACCACCCACGTACATTTTTTGTTGAATTAATGACCCACTATCTCTTTGTTTAAACAGTTTATGTAATTGTCCCTATTTATTATTTAGACAATGACTCTTTTTTGTTTACAATTATACTCCTTTTGATAATCGTGTGAAACTGGTTCATCATCTTCCTTAAATTTCTCCTTCTCTTCCCGTAACCTATTCTTTTTTAATTCTTTCTTCTCCTATATTTTTTTTTTATGTTTTTTTCATCACTGCATATATCTTCAAAACTTTGATTGTGAGCGTATCAATCTATCTCTTCAATTTCGGACATTGAAAATCTGATTCGGAGTTCGACCCAATTAATAGGCTCACAGCCGAATTCTTCGTTCTTCTTCTTCATCACTTTCTTTTTCTCTTCTTTTTTTTTTGTCGATTTCGTTAGAGGCGCGACTATACCCAACGACAACCACGATTTCAATGTCCGACGACCATCTGTCGGGTACTTACACCTCCGACCACTGCGGTTGCTCTTCGGGGTTGCCGCACAAGTTTTCGACTGACGTCAGGTGACTAGACGTTCAGATCTGTATTTTTTTTCTTGATTATTACTGGTTTGGTTTTCTTTTCTTTGGTTTTGTTTGTTACCATTTATTTGGTTTGTTTTTCCTTTTTCCTTTCTTTTTTTTTTTTTAATTTGGTTTTGACTCTCTTGGTTGTTTTGGAATGTCGTTTTGCCATCCCCAATATGGCCACTGTTTTGTGAAAATTTGGTGTTGATGACCCTTTTCTTAGCCTTGAGAAGGGTTCGGTGTTGTTAGAAAAATTTTAGTTAAAATTTACTTCAAAATTCTGTGAGTTTGGTTGCCTTGGTCGAAATTCTGGGCTTCATATAGCGTATTAGAATTGGTGTTTTTCAGCCTCAAAGATTAGTAGGAAGTGTTTGATTTTTTTTTT